CCCCTCCATGTGAGAGGGGTGTAATGCATTATGTACACCTCATGGTATACACATAGCATTTCCCTTTATTAAATATATGTAATAGGTATAGTTCTACTTATATACAATTACAGTATATGACTAGTCACTAGTGGAAGTACAGAAAAACCCAAAAAGACAAACGAACTCAGCCAAATTCATAGCAGCACAGTTCTATCTCTTCTTCACATTAGGCAGATCCTGCCAAGGCAATCGACCGGTTTTCGGGTCAATGAATGTCTTCAACACACGATCCCTTAAGCCCAAGTCCTCAACCTCGCAAAATCTGGTCGACCAATCGGCCGGTTCCACAGCTTTTGTTCCTAAACCCGGTGTTCGATCCTTGGAATTAAAATTTTGTTCTTGCTGCCAGTCGGACACATAGGAAGCCACCCTCCTATAGAATTTCTCTTTGAAAACTTCCCACACTTGGTACTTGTAGTGATTTATCACCAGCACATTTCGATCTATATTGGCATACCGAAACCCAGCCTGCAAGTGAAAGTGGTGCACCACATTGATCAAAGAAGAATTCAGAGCCTCAGGTCTCATTACACTCTTGTGCCTCTCCCAGCCAGCCAACCGGCATGTGTATCCAACAGTCACTCCTTTCACAGGAACATTTTTAAGGCCCGAGGGGCCAAAACTATGGCACGATACTCGTAATTCAGCTACCTCACTAGGCCTAGACTGATTCCTAACAACATCGTATAATGACAATCCTGAAGGCAAGTGAAAGAACTCATCAACATCAATGAATCCAATCCACTCGCATGAATTCCCAGCACGTAGTGCACAATGCGAGAACCCTGCCTCTTGAGTCTTGATCCAAGGCCACACATGCCGAGTAACATTATAATTTGCACCCACTAATGACTCGACCACATCTTCGATATCATCATCACTGCTGTTATCGTATATAAACCAACGTTGGACCCCTATTCGAGAATGATACATGATCCATTCAGGCAGAAACCTAGCTTGATTCCTCAACATCGTACATATGCACATCTCGTGCTGTTTCCGGGACGAGGGCATAGGGATCGATAATCGGACTTTCAGTTGAGCAACAGACTTGAGAGTCTGTCTACCAACCACCCTAACTGAAACCTTAATTGCAGTATTAAATCTTTGTGGGCTATTCAATATGCTCAAAGGGGTTTTGCATCTCACAATTTCCTGAGCAACTGATGCAACCTCGGACCATAAAACAAATTTTGGTCTCCTCAAATCCCAGCCGTACATGCATTCGAATTTAGAGGGATCAGAAACTCTTCCAGACCGTAGATTAAGCCCCTTAACAAAAACAACAGTGGTATTATCACGATCAATTATAGCTTCATAAGCCAATGAATCCCACCTAAGCGTGGTGGACCCATGCAGGAGGTTAACGTTGGATTTAACCGCTAACGACACGGTCGTACCACTTGGCTGACGCGGGCACCGTACAGTCTGGTGATTGGAATATTGACAGTCGATTGATACCGGAGAGAGCTTTAGCTGGGGCTTAGTTGAGTTTGGGAGCAGGTATATACAGTCTATGTCATCTTTGGAAAATAAGAGAGTGGATGAAGGGTATTTTAGGAAAACCAAAGCCTGGTCTGGAAAAATAACGGTTTCTTGAATTGAGATGGTCGGAGTTGAAGGTGACACGCCGGCGATCACTTTCATCGGCGACGTCCACCACGTCGACACTAATCTTGGATGAAACCCATCTGCTCCGGTCCAAAAAATAAGTATCTTTTAATACAAATTGACCAAACAATTAGAGTGCAACAAATTTAAAGTAAACCCAGAAAAAGAAATTTTGATCGAACAACCCAAAAAGAATTTCTCCAAGATTTAGTACAAGATACTTACCTCTGAAGAACAGCCGGACAGTTGATAAAGTGAAACCGGAGAAGATGAGAAGAAGGGTACACCGGAAAAACAAGCTCCACGGCACAAAACTACTCCGTTTTTTCCGATCATTCATTCCTACAATTCAAACAAATAACCGCCCAAACCCAATTCCAGAAACCAGTTTCTGCTTTATTTTCATTCATTAAATCCCCTTCTTGAATTATACTATATATAATTCCAGTAGTATACTATAGCACGATTTGTATATCTGTCTTTTTCAGTGAGTAAAATTAGTTCTAGTGATGAAATTAAGTTCGTTTAAATTCTCTGGTGTAATGGATTTCATAGAAGAAAGATGGAGAAGGAGAAATGAATAATGCTACTGAGG